CTTTTTGAGGATCACATATTTATTTGTAAAGGGACATTCGTTTCAACAGGTTTCATGGCCAAAACAAGGCCTAAGCTTAAGAATTAATTGCTTATAAAATTCCCACCCATTTGCATTACACAGTTTTAACTTAACAAACTAATAAACTGATATTTGTCATTGCATAATGGAACAGGTACAGTAAGAAGAGTAGATTTATGCACAAAAATATCATGGAAGCATAGTTCATTATTAACTATTTGCAAATATTTTATTTAAATATATTTAATCTATCATATTTTAATATGTGTGCATACAAGTGTTACATTTATTCAGTTAATTGTATTATGATTATAAACCAAGCATTAATCAGTTAAATTGGACTTATTTATGATAAACATATAAAATGGGTATTGAGTATTTAAACCAAATTAAATGTACTATTACGGAAATTCTACCTGAAAATATAACTGACAAATATGCATTGCATTAAGTTTAGTAGTTTGTTTATATTAAAAACTAAATGGACAGAAATATTTTGATTAGCCTATATTATATGTACAGCCAAAATATATTTACTGGTTAATTAAATTAAGCAAGAATAAGATTATACATCGATTTTATCCGATTATTTGTGTAACATACATATAAGCTAAACAATATTTGCAACACGTTGTAGACTGCTTGTTGAATCAGCATTCAAATTACAGTTCAACCAACATAAGATCAATAAATGTCTCAATTATTAAAAGGGCAAGTCTTTGTGGTTTAAGTCATGTAATTTTCCAAATCCATTATATGTTGGTAAAGGAACATTTTGCTGCCTTTTTACTGGAGGCTTAAATCTGGTGCTAATACAGATGGAGATGGTCCAAAAGATTGATTAGATAAACTCTCTGTCAAGACAGGATTGCAGTTTATGATGACAGACAGTCCTCAAACGGGTGATTAGGAGGATAATGTCTAAGCCGTAAGACTGCCACATTAAATAGAGAGGCAATAATATATGGCAACATTTATGTTCAGAGAAGGACAAAGGCTGTATGTTTCTTGACAGGTAAATGGAAACTAAAAGCCAGGAGGAGAAATACTGTATATTTCTGTGTAGATGCTAAAAGCAATTAACATTCAGTTGTGATATTTTTTAAAGCTTTGAGAATTTTGTTCTTTAATCTTTTGAATGTTGTGCTTTGAAATACTTTACTTTTCTAAATTTAATTGAATGCACTTCAAGTATGCACATGCAAATGCACGTGCACTGCACACACACACACACACACACACAGAGAGAGAGAGCGAGATGGTGTGCAAAGTCACATTTTTAATAGAAAGTTGACTAAATTTAATCGTCATATACTGCACAGCGTAACACAACATTCAGTTCTGATTTTGCCTTAGCATCTGGTTCATAAGCATCATTGAAATATTTTCACAAGTTGTCATAAAACAACTTCAAACTGTTATTAGATATCAAATATTGAACTGAATTCTTGGATGAAATTTGTAGTCAGCTCTATGGTTTATTAAATAGGCAAAGTACAAAAATTTAAAGGGATACTCCATTTTTTTTTTCCTTTTTTTTTTTTTTTTGAAAAATGCCTCATTGACATGGTCTCATTGACTACCAGAGTATATAATTTTTCCTACTATGGAAGTCAATGAGACCAGAAAATGTCTGGTTAGCCTACTGATATTCTTCTAAAATGGATTCGAAAATGGTAAAACTCAACTGTTTAACTCTGGGGGAGTTGTAAAATGAGCCTATTTCCAAAAAAAAAAAAAAAAAAGTGGAGTATCCCTTTAAAGACAGTTAAACGTTGGGTATTATTGGCTACATTCACACCAGTGTGGCTGATTGATTGGTTTGAGGTGTTGGTTGGTTGACTGGTTGATTGATGAGTATATGTATATATACACACTAAAAAATGGTGCTAAATAGCACTAAAAGTGGTTAATTGGCTTGTAATCATAGGGGAACCACTTTAATAGCACTTATCTTTGTCATATGGTGCTATGTAGAACCATAAGAGGTGCCATAGAGCATGTTAACCACCCCAGAGAACCACTGAAGAACCAAACTGGGCTTAGTGGTGCTATATAGCACCAGGACCACCGCAAAGAAGAACCTTTTTTTTAGAGTATCTATCTATCTATCTATCTATCTATCTATCTATCTATCTATCTATCTATCTATCTATCTATCTATCTATCTATCTATCTATATATATATACATACACACATACATATAAAAACAGACCACATACATAAAACACCCTCCTCTGTCTGGTTTATTACTACATCAACAAACTTCATAATGTTCTTTATTATAATATTACCACGCTCCATTTTGCACCACATCTTGTCACTTTCTACTATCACTATTCAGTGCAAGTGTCAAATGAATGTATAATTGATATTAACAATTATTATGCTTGCTTGCATTCTGTATGTATTATATACTGTAGTGCAGCTTATTGGTATTATTATGATCCCTACAGAGGACAAATCAAGCATGCAGTAATGGCCATTGACAAATCTGAATTGAAACTGATTCAATGATCACACTGAAAACAGTTAATCAGTGGTTTGATGTTTAGTCTGTATGAACAAATCACGCAAGCATAGAAATACATAAAGAAAACCTGAATGTAGGTAAACTTGACAAGCAACTCATTTTCTTTGTTGTTGTTGTTTTGATATCTGTCTCAGCCGGTTTTGACGCATCTATAAGTGGTGGGATGCTGTGCTGACAGGTTTAAAGGCTGAACTGAAAGTGAGCCCTGCCCTTGTTCCAGCAGCCATTTTGACAGCTCCTCATAATTACCCTCGGGCATTCTGTCGCCTCAGGTATGGCTCTTAAAAACTAAAGCACTTACACTACGCAGTCTCCTATTTATTCCTCATCAACACTGATATTGCGCACCATACAGTGTCCAGTGTCTTAAAATCCTCTGCTTTTTGCTATATAAATATATGTATATATATATATATATATATATATATATATATATATATAATAACAAGAGCTGCAGAAGTTCATTTTCTAGAAAACACAAATATATTTGTGTGTTTCAATTGCTCGTGAGGGCTATTTTTGAACCTGCTGTTTTTGCATTGATTGCTCTGAATTACTTCTTGGAAGGCAGTGCTTAAAAGATGTAATGATCGGGGTGACCAGGTCACTGATTGTCTTGACTGTCCTTTTCCTGGATTTGAACATGAAAAGGTTCGGGAAGAGCAGGCCACAACCAGTGTCCTGCAGATCAGATAATGTGCTTTAGTCTAGCTGTGGTTCTCAGACCAGCACCAGTCCGTTATAAGGGGTGTAAATGGATACAATGATTGGGGGTTTACTAACAGCTTGCACCAGCACAAACCCTCTTTTGGCATTAAAAAAAAAATACTTTTATGATTTAATAAAGACAACTCACTGAAAAATTTGCACTGAAATTATTTTTTATTATTTTTAAACTAATCAGGCAAGGTGATTTACTAGTCAATTTACAGGTATTTGCGTCATTAATTGCTCACCCAAAAAAGCACGTCTAATACCAAGAGCTTATTTGTGCTGCTCTAGATTGGCTGCGATATCTGTGTTCTTTAATTTACGCGTTGTAAATCACTTGCAGAACTTCCAATCGGCGCTTTTTGGAATTATGCTCTCATGAAGTAAATCCGGCCCATAAGATCTACAAAACGCATCAAGATTCCAGAATGCCAAGATGCTGTAACTTGAAATACAAGACAACACTGACCACACTATTAGAAAAACTAGATCTTAGCTGTGAAAGAAAAATGATCAAGTACTCAAATATTCAGAGGACACCTCAGAATCCATTTGCCATGACTGTTTATTTGAAAATGTGTGTGAAGGGTTTATTTTAAACTAGGATTTCACTGATGTTATGCATTCAAAAAGTCTCTTTGGGATTTAAAATGTATTAAAATATGCATTTTCCTCATAGACTTGTCTTGCATGCTCTGTTTAGTCTGAGTAAATGAAGATGGTAACCCACACTTGGAATTTGTCATTTAACCCATCCAGTGCACACACATTGTGTTTAGTGAGAAGTGAACAAACACACACTGGAAACTGTGGACAGTCATTTTTGTTGTATCGCCCGAGGAGCGATTGGGGGTTAGGTGCCTTGCTCAAGTCATTTAGCCGGTATTGAAAATCAAACCCGCAGCCTTTGGGTTAACAGCCTGACTCTCTAACCATTACGCCACAACTGCCCCCTAAGGATATGTTTAGAGAACTAGAAGCTGTTATACCTCACTTAAACAATAAAGTGACTTTTATTGATGTAACTCAGTAGTCCCGCTGATTCAGTCACATTGCAATAAAAACTGTTCATTTCTATGGTAGCTTAGTAATACAAGAAGCACATTTGTTTTAGTAAAAATAATAATGTTAATGCACTTGCAATGTAAAGTCATTGCACTAAATGTTAAAATATAAAGTCTTAAAAGTTGTTGCTATTTTTTTCAGTCCAGGGAACATTTGTACTTTTTTGAAACACAATGTTACTGTAGACACACACACGTTAAAGGTGGTCTTTAAAAAAAAAAAAAAGCTGGCTTGAGTGGCAAGATATTTAAGTTAAAAAGTAATATATATATATATATATATATATATATATATATATATTTGTTATAACATGTACAAACCTTCTTTAATGAGTATTGAATGAACCTTTAACATATATTTGTTTTCTATTTGCATATTAAATACAACGTCCTCCTGACACTTATGACAACATTTATGAAACCCTTTTTAAAACACAATTCAACATGGAAGTCAAAATCTCGTTTGAATTTCAGTGTGGTTTTAGGTTATAAAAATGTCGATTTTTAAATAAATAAATTCAATTAGACCATATGACAACATCCTCATGTGACAACTAGCCCCGGCCTTCTCTACTTGACAAATCAACGTACTGGGTAGCCTAGTATGAAATATCAGAGACAGAAAACAACGGAAACATCACTAATGAAAGAGGAATAAACTAAAATCGATTTATATATTTATTTTTTTCCTGCGCAAGTCTTACATAAAAGCCTTTGTTGGTCGGAAATCGGATTCCTCCTCCTCTTGCAGGTGTCAGTCTTAATTCTGTCCAGTAGGTGGGACTTTATCCTCGTCATCCGGAGCATCGCGCCTTCAGCAGTACTTTCCTCCAGCTTGGGCACTGAGAGCGTCTCTATGATGGACTGTGGAACGGAAAGTCGAGGCGAGTTGTGGCATTTGCTCTTGTTCTTTTGATGAGGCGATTAGATTGCGAGCCCAACCTCATATGATGTTCCCAGGCGCGCGCACTCTTATGTAGCCAACGCATTTAGATATTAAACACTCATATCTCCATCAGCGATCTTCATCATCACCATCCTCATCAGCCCTGGAAGACGTCGAGTCGTGTTTGACCCAAAAGTCATGGATATATGGTTGTGTTCAGCGGTTCCTGTGTTCACCTGGAGGCTTTTCTTTCTTTCAAGCATCTTCCAGGGTTATTGGAGCTCCATGCTCGATTGTCCACCAACATGCAGCTGTTCGCCCATTGAGATCTATTGCAATAAGTCCGACAGTGGAAATTTCTTCCCTTTACTTGCTCTACAAGATCAGGCGGGCAATGGCAGTAACAATAATGACATTGAAGAGCTCTTCAGGAACATCACGTCCATGTAAGTGGGATTCTGTGCGTCCCTCTCCTATACTGCGCAAAATAGATATATATAAATATATATCTCGCCACGACTTCCTCATATAGTAAAACTTGGCTTCACGATCAAATCTGCATTATTGTTTGAACTTTTATTTTGTATCATGTAGCCTATATTTCAAAACTAATTCGATTATTTAAAGATTCACAATCTCAAGATACCATAAATATATAGTCTATTATCAAACATTTTGGATATCAATGATGCTATTGCTGTTTTGCAATTTTATGTCGCGCTTCTGCATTAATTAATGATCTCAGCATGTAAGAACCTGTTAGCTTTCTCATCGATTTAATCAATGCAGCAAGTCTGTTTTTCATATTATTGAATGAACGTTCAGACTGTGTGATTAGAAACATTAGACATTGGAAATGGTAGCCTATTGTCCACACTTCCCTCATTGCTTAAAATGGATTGTTTGTGGGTACAGGTCTAAACATAAACGCATTGTTGTGACATTTATATTAAAGAAGCCATTGTAGTAATGATATAACACTAGCAATGAATGGTTTGAAGTGAACAGTAGTGCACCAACAGGTTACAGAGATTTCTTTCATTCAGGACTCTGGACAGCTCCTACAATCTCCATAGTGCTGGGGGATTTAATTTACAACCTTGATCTGTTATAAAACTTCTATATTTATATCGAACATGAGCTGTTTCTCTGGCTGTCGGTCTATCTTGATGTCTGTCCTTTTCATGGCGCTACCTTGACAGACTATACATGACAATGTGTGTGTTTGCAGTGAACACATGATTTATTTAGTCACCGTCTCAGAAAATGGAGGGGATCCTTCAAAGTTTCAGTTTTTTTTAATGGAAGTGTCTGTTCTTCATATGTGAAATTCAGTATAAGAATAGTTGTGTCTGTCTCACTTCAGCTTTTTGAGCCAAAATGCTTAAATTTGTTATTAAGACTGAGTTTAGTCTGATATTAAATGGATCTATTAGGGGTTTTTTGTATTCATAACAATCAACATTTCTAATGCAGCTATTGCAACTATAAGCATTCTCTCGAGTTTAAGCTTCCAGCTATACATACATGTATATGAAACACATTTCAGTTTGTTTGTTTTTTCAGAAGAATACACTTTTTTATATTCTTGACTTGCGATAGCATTTGAAACCCATCATATGACTTACAAGCACATCATCAAGTTTTTATGAGGCCTTTTTTGTGTTAAGTAGGTCAGGACTGCCATTTGAGAATTAACAAGAACGTCTGGTTTGGCTTTTTAATGTGAAGAAACGTAACTAATGGCATTGACCCTGTCTCTCTTCTACATGCAGCCAATGAAGTATTGGTTGAATTTGCTTTTTAAAGGAAATTCGTGTTACATTTTTGTTACAAGATTGTCTCTCTTCTAATAGTTAAAATAGGGATTTTTGTCGGGGAAGCTTATCGTAGAGCCATCTGCAGGGGCTTTTATTACTGAGGAATATAAATGAAGTACTTTCCAAGGCAACAATCAAAAGACGCATTGATAACCTGTGGGAGCAAAGGAGATTCAAAAAGGAAGGGCTTGAGATCTGGAAACGAGGCTCGGGTTGAGCTGTTTGAGCTTTTGAAGTTTGTTTCTAAGGTGATTGTATTTTAATTAGCTTATGATGAATCATGGAGAGAAATGATAGTCGTGTGTTAGACGTAAAGTGTTGAGAGAGCGAGAGAGAAACTGCTGAATTGTTGGTAGCCAGAAGCTGTTATTCTTCAATATTTCAGACAACTTTAATTTATATTGTAAAGAGGAATAATGATTCAATTTCAATTTTTGCATTATTTTCTGACAATTCTCATTATCGCAATTTAAAAAAAATATTACAGTTATGTGAATTTATGTATCAGTATGTATCAATGCAATATGTTTTTATACAATATGGTACAGCAGTATTGAGAATCTAATGAGAATCACATGCTGAGAATAATGATAATTGCAAAAAAGCTAAATAAATAAAACGTCCAGACAGATTATGGTAATGATACTTTTTAAATGTGGGGAAATGTGTTTAATTCACATGAAAATAGTGAAGTAATGAAAAATCTTAATGGTTTTAAAAACTGGCTTCATTTGCTTAATGCAAAATATAATATTTTCCTTTTTTCATTTAATATTACGGACTAATGACTGCCCAAAATTTGTCTCTACCATTTTATACTTGACACTAGAATGGTCAAGGCTCCTTGTTTAAAAGTTGATAATACATGCACAATGACATATTCCATCCGTAAATGAATTGAAATGAATGAATGAATGTGAGCTCCTTCCTTTCTTTCCAAGGCTAACTATGTGATGGGAACGAGTTTAGGAGAAGAGGAGAATGCATTGGTGCTCTACAGTAACAGTGGGGATTTGTTTCTGAACAGAGCTTCACTATTATCAGCAAATGTATCCCACAATGTAATGTAATAAACCGTTGATTTACACTGCTGCTTCTTTAATTGGAAATGTGCCCATGTCAAGCTCTGTCTGTTTAATGTTTAAAGTTCAAAACTAGCACTGTTCTTTATAATTAGAGAGCCGTCCGATAGCTAAAGTTCATCTGAAGGAGCAGTGCGTAATGCACCGTAATGCATAATTATGTTGCATGATATGGATATACTGAAGCAGAAAGAAATAAGATCTAGATCTTCTGTTCAAATTGAGCTAGGTTAACTCTTATAACTTGAGGCAAAACACAATGTGAAATACTTGAGGCAAAACATGTTTTAATTTGACTTGGCTTAAGTTCATTGTTTCTCTAAAGAAATCATTTTTGAAAGGGGTTACTGAACTACATTTATTTTAAATTACATAATGATCTTTGAGGTCCACTTATAATGTTGTTAGCTATATTAAAAATTGAAAAAGCATCATTTATAAGTAATAGGCTATAGTACTTTATATTCAGTTTTTGATACTCTCTTTGAAACGATTCGTTTTGATGTGCATGCTGTATTAAAGACTTGGAAGTAAACACCCACTGCTATGATTGGTTAGCAGTTTTCCTTATTAAAATCAATTCTAACATCTCTGCCATTGCTAAAAAGAATATGCCACGCTAAAAAGGACAGACGGTTCATATCGTTTTTTTTCTTGTCATAGTCGTGATGTTGGCATTACAAAAAAAAAAAATAAATAAAAAATAACAGAATCACGTCCCCACACAGCTTTTGACTTCTTTACTCATTTTATAAGCTATTCACGTGTTCTGAGCTGGTCAAAATACCATCACATCCCACTGTAAAAAATATTCGTAATTTTAACGGTAAAAGACTGTAAAAATGCTACAGTGCAAAACTGTTAACTTCAAAAAGTTTCCGTAATATATATGGTACACTCTAAAAATGCTGGGTTGTTACAACCAAAATTTGGGTCAAATATGGACAAACCCAAATGTTGGGTTAAAAATGTAATAAAAAAAATAACAGTTGAAAGTTAAAGTTGGGTTAAAATTTTAAATTACATTTTTAACCCAACATTTGGGTTAACCCAGAGTGTAAATAACTGTGATAGATCTCATGGTACATTTAATGTAATGTAAACTCATCGTATACTTTACAGTGAAAAACCGTAAATTGACATTCCCTGTGTGACACTTCACATTTTATGACTTTTTTTAAATAACTATGGTTCCTCATAATTTTCGCTTACGGTTTTATTTCTTACAGTGTACGCACATACAACATACAACAACAGTTCAGTCTAATAGGCAAAAATAGGCAATATGTCATAAAAGCCGACTACCAAGTTTAGAACGTATCCCTTTGCCTTTAGGTTCAGTGTTAAAATGATTTGAATGTTCGGTGATTTGAATGCAAAACGTATCAGGATTAAATGTTTGGACAAGGAAGATGTGAGTTCTGAAGCTTACAGGATAGTACAAGGATCTCTTGTACGTTAAAAGAATTCTCAATTCATGACCCTTTTAATAATTTCCATTGTAGTTTCTCTTCTGTAGCCTGTTTTGTCCCATGTCTCAAAAATCAGATCGTCACATAAAAAATAATCGTAGTTGGTTAACAGAAAGTTTCCATAATATATACGGTAAATAACTGTGATAGATCTCATGGTACATTTAATGTAATTTTACTGTAAAAATACCGTTAAATTTACAGTTTTTGAAAGTGAAAAAGAACAACTCGTATAATTTACAGTGAAAAACCGTATATTGACATTCCCACAATTCCCTGTGTGACACTTCACATTTTATGAATTTTTGTTGAAATAACTATGGTTCGCTTATGGTTTTATTTATTTCAGTGTACGCACATACAACAATACAACGACAGTTCCGTCTCAAAATAGGCAATACGTCATAAAATCCGACCACCAGGTTTAGAACGTTTCCCTTTGCCTTTAGGTTCGGTGTTAAAAAATGGCGATTTGAATGCTAAACGTATCAGGATTAAATGTTTGGACAAGGAAGATGTGAGTTCTGAAACTTACAGGATATTACGAGGATCTCTTATACGTCAAAAGAATTCTCAATTCATGACCCTTTTAATAATTTCCATCATAGTTTCTCTTCTGTAGCCGGTTTTGTCCCATGTCTCAAGAATCAGATCGTCACATAAAAAAATAATCGTAATTTTAATGGTAAAAGACTGTTAACTGGTTAACAGAAAGTTTCCGTAGTATATACGGTAAATAACTGTGATAGATCTCATGGTACATTTAATGTAATTTTATTGTAAAATACCATTAAATTTACAGTTTTTGAAAGTGAAAAAGAACAACTTGTATATTTTACAGTGAAAAAACGTAAATTGACATTCCCACAATTCCCTTTGTGACTTTTTGTTGAAATAACTATGGTTCGCTTACAGTTTTATTTCTTACGTTGTACGTACATAGAACAATACACCATAAAATGACATTTCCGTCTCAAAATATAGGCAACACGTCATAAAAGCCTCAATTCATGACCCTTTAAATAATTTCCATCATAGTTTCTCTTCTGTAGCCTGTTTTGTCCCATGTCTC